TAACCACCGCCAGAGGATAGTGAGGGAGCGATTTCACTCGCATCACGTAATGATTTAGCCCAAGAGGCTAGTGAGGAATAAGTCCCAACAAATAACAAGTTCCCAGGAGATGACAGAGACATTAGATGTCCATGTAGATGACGGATCAATATAGATACTTACCAACTTGATCTGATCGCGCATCCGAAGACAACTGTGTAGATCGCTCAATTTTACCACTCTCGAATAGAAGATTTTCTTGCGTGATCTGCAGAGTGGCAAAGTCTTGCAGATTCGCGTACTCGTCGCGAAAGGAGATTACATAATCGATATTCGGTCGGCAATGGTATCCACTGAATATGAAAGGGTTATTAGCCCCTCATCAAAGAACGAGAGCATCTTTGATGAGAAGACTCGGACTGAGCGATACACATCTCTATTGTTGGAATCGCTCAAGACAAATCCTCTCTGCGATGGTTTGACACATAATAGAGATGCAATCCCAGAAACAGTGCCATACCAGTTACCAAATGATCAGGGTCCTCGTCATGAGATCGACCCGAAACCAGGCTCAACGTACTGTGTCATGAATCAGTGACCATTTGTGAACAGGTACTAGCGATTGACGGATTCTTTGCCAATCGCTTTGCAGCGGGCCATGTGAGGGATGCTATTTCTCCAAATAGTTCTCCTACCTTCTGTGTACAAAATGCCACAGGAGGATGGCAGATATTACAAACCTTAAACTTGTTAAATAGCGCAACTTCACCAGATCAGACGCCGATACCAAAGAGAAATGTCATCATAAATAATATGGCAAAGAGTGCCATCTTTTATCGATGGATCTGATGCATGAGTTCTATCAGATCCTCATGCGTAAAATGGAATCTCATACACTGCCTTGAGAAATCCAAGCGGTATGCTTTGGGAGTGGCTAGTTTTGCAACAGGTATTGAGTAATGCCCCTGCTACGCTCGAAAGATGCGTCACAAACATGTTGAGATCCGTGCGAGAATTTGTACCTAGCTATTTCGGTGACGTGTTCGTCCATAGCCGGGCCATGGATGTTAAGACGGATGTGAAAGTGCACCGACTCTACACGTTCAAAAGTTTCTTACACTGATTTTTAATCAAACCACAGCAATACAATCGTGCAACTTTTGTACTCCCAGTCTGTAAACGGTAAAAGAACACTTGCTTCTGAAAAGCACTCATAGGTGGATTGCTACACAAAAGTCAGACTGACTATTTGCCGAACAAACTACTATCAGGAATCTACACGTGAGAATAAGTTGTATGCCAGCATCCAGAAAGGCACATTCTCTGCTAGTGAAATGCCACTTTTGGATGCATCGTGGGTAAGCACGGCTTCCGGACCAATCCAAAAATGATCAAGGTGATCACTGACTAGCAAGCGCCTACCGACACAAAGGGAATTTAAACGTTCCTTTCTCTAGTGGCGTATTTGCACAAATGCTCGCACAGTTACACTAAGATGACCGTTAATCCTAATTGTTTTTTGGAAAAGAACGAGAAGGGAAAATGGAGTGCTGATTCCAGCGATCCTTCAAAGGTATCGATTAAAGCTTAATAAGCTCGTCAGTTTTGGCAATTGTAGACCAAGACAGACCATTTCATGTGGTCTGCGATGCAAATGATTTTTCCATCGGATGTGCACTGATGCAGTATGGCGCAGAAGGTGCTGAGCGTGTCGTCTGCTATCCGTCACTTTAGCTGCAACCGGCTAAACTTAACTACCCATTTCATGACAAGGACCTCCTTGCCATGTAGTATGCTTTGGCGAGATTCAGGGTCTACCTACTACGTGGTAGGCCCTTACAGTTTACAAGGGCTATCCGTCCTTACGCACGGACGTTAACAGTCCCACCTCTCGCAACGAATGGCGAGGAGGCTGTCGCTCTTCGCGGAGTATAAATTCTCCGTGGGTATAAGCCAGATGACTGAATGTCGTTGATGATGCTCTTTCGCGCCAGCTCGATTTCGAACTGGATGCGTTGCCCGACTCTTGTCCGACCAAAGTCGCGGTGTTGACGTCGATTGTCCTGTCGTCGACTTAATTCAAAAACATTCGCAAGGCGTACAATCCGGCGATGGTGCGTTTGATGGACCATTAATCGCAAAAGGCCCGTTTATCCCTGAAAGATTTTTCCTCAGTATATCGATCCTCCATGGATCAATAAACACTTTACAACGTCTTACTGAAGTATTCAGCCGTTGCCTGCAACACGCATCGTGTCGTCGGACCAAACCATGGTGACCTGCGACTGCGAATCATGCGTGAGTACTACGAGGCACCTACTCGTAAACATCGTGGTCGAGAGAAGACATGTCTTACAGCTAGTCGCGAATTTTACAGACCCCGCAAATATCAGTTCTTGCTTAAGTACGTCCGCGCATACGAAGTATTTCAACGAGTGAAGTCTGATTTTTCACTTCGTGCGCCGTTGCAACCCTTGACCATTACAGCAGAATGCTAAGAATCTGTCTCAATGGACTTTGTCATTGGATTCCTCGCGACACACGCAAGAATACAGTTATTCTTGCGTTCGTTGAGATATTTAGTAACAATGGTACACCTGGTCGCTGTACCTGAATATTTCAGTGCATCGGCATGTGTCGGTGTTTTTATTGACACGATCTTTTGTCTTTGTGGGTTGCATCGTAAACTCGTCTACGATGGAGACCCACAGTTCACTGCTGAATCCTGGAGATCCGCGTTCATAACACTCGGAACGCGCCTTCAGATATCGACCTCTGACCACCCTGCAAAAGATGGTCAGATAGAACGTGCCAACTGCGCTCTTGAAAAGCCTTCGAGAAATGTCCAATCGTTTACGACTTAAAGCGAATTCTTGCCAGTAATGAAATTCGCCATCAACGAACCGGTGCCTGCACCGACTATACATGCACCTTTCTACGTGAATAGCTTGCGCCATCCACGCCTACCCACCTTTATCGAGTGTAATTCTAGCTTGAAAGGAGGAGAGAATCATTTGAGAGAATGCCAAATCGGCTCTGACTCATCATATACTGAACACAAGGTCACTGCGTATGACGCCGATGTCGATCATATCGATTATGGTGAAGAAGATAAAGTAAGAGCGAGGATGCTCTTGCTCACTATGGTACTGATCTTGCTGCAGTGTGCTCCAAGCACACTGTAGCAAAAGACAGCGAGTAAGCAGATGATTTTATACTGGCTCGCGAACGGTTGTCCGGTCCGCGCAAGATTCCATCGCTGAAGCGGTGGACCGAAAAAAGAAAAACGCTGATAAGAATGGAAGTGCAAATGTTCTTTCATTAAATGAGGTGACCTTGTCCTACTATCTACGGTAATTTAACCCAGACGTATAGCGACAAATGTGGGTAGGAACAAGTTACGACCCAAGTTCGGTCCATTTCGTGTGTTGCGACTCTTAGGCAATGGATACACGTTAAAAGACCACGTAAGATTAACACGTATCCTACGCTCTACGTCGGTAGTCTTAAGGCGTATTACCAGCAATTGACTTTTTTCGGTGAAGAAATCCCTTGCGCTCCAGCAACTCCAAGAGATACTTGTGCTCTCAATGCTGACTATCAGCCTGGGTCTGAAGTCCTAAGTGTTTGCTCTGCGAGGATATCTCCTCGCAGAGCAAAGAGAAATCTCAACGATCTTCCACTATATCGTCGCGAAGAGAAGACTTTACCCGCTCATTCTCAAGCTGGACAAAAGCAAAATCTGTTCGATCCCTTGACCGTTCCGAGGAGACACAGTTCACTGCTAAGATAAGCAAGACTCCTGCCTCTCTCGTGCTCAAGTTCCTCGCGCAAATCACACGTTACGAGCTCGAGTTGACACACAGCATCGAACTGGACTTGCAAAATCCTCGTAAATCTTTTTTGACTCCTCCGCCTTATCCGTTGATTGATGCGCAATACGTCCAACGCTTCCTCGTGGAACGCTTGTTGAAATAACACGACGTGAAGTGACTTCGTACGAGTCGCCTCGTCCGTGGAGCGGGTATCCACACTCTACAGATGCTTGGGATCCTTGATCTCAACTTCTGATTGATGATTTGGGCCTTGTCGGGCAGTATGACAAGGCGTATCCGATGCCAAAGAAGGATCTTCGAAAAACGAATTTTTAGCGCACTTATAGAGGAGATGCAAATAAGCTATTCCCCCGTACATATCTCGAGTGACGCGTACCCTTCACCAGGGGAAGTCATCAAGTAGGCTTTCTTTGGAGCTTGTAACAAGCTATTCACACAACTTTGGCACGTATCACCCCAAGAGAGCATGGAAGCACGGTCTCTCTTGATAACATATGCAATTTGAAATGTGCACCCGTAAAGGTCCGTTTCTCAAATCGATTTTTAATCCAACAATAGCTTATCTAGTCAGCACCACGCCCAATATCACCAACGTCGTAAACGAAAGCCTTCCGTGCCTGCACAAACGACGGATCATCACGCTTGTGACTCCCACTGTACCATCGATGCTTAAAGAACACATCGATGAATGAATCATGTTCATTGCGAAAGCTACTCACACTAGGATTAAGCTTGTGCAGCTTTAATGAATCGAATAATCTTATCCGATAACGATCACTCGTCGTGTCAGACAGACGAGCCAACACTCTCTAACGAGGTCTTCACGACTTCTTTGCAGGAGCAACGCGCAAGATGTTGCAATCCACAGTCTCTTGTATGGTGCCCACAGAAGTACTGCTACCAGGAGCATCCCAATCATCCGGACTCTGATGCATAATTGCAGCACCGTCAAGATCGTCCGGGTGACAATATCTATTGCCTTTTTGCCTTCAGCCGGAGGACTCCTTCTGGGAGACGGATGATCGGACTGGTTGGAAGATTAGAAGATGTCACGACGCTCGGCGAGGCGTAAAGTGCTTCGGGAAGCCGACCCAGTCGGCCACGGTTTAGCCAAATCTGGCTCATCTTTGGCTTTCACCTCCTTCAAGTCGGTCTCACCGACTCGCCAGAGTATATGAGATCGAGCTAATAGTCTCCGATGTCACGCAGCGCATCACCGCGTGCGACTGGAAGAGCTCCTGCTGCAGGCTGGGTTGTGGAAACAGCAGACAAAATTACTTCAGCTGCTTCGAGCGATCCTGTCTCCTCTACGGCAGTGGAGCGGATTCTCATGGCTGCGAGCTCAGAAGCTTTGATTGCGCACTGTAATGGGGCACCCTTTGTTTGGGGTGCCAAAAAACTTCACGTGCACTAGTACGTGCAGAGGAAGCTAATCTACTTGAACGACTCGTTCAAGTAAAGGTAAAAATAGAACTGTATTCAATATAGTTAAGCTATCAATATAACTTTAATCTTTATCTAACTATATTAAGCTAATTCGTCGTATGACGACAACCTGCTCACCACTCATTGCGCGCGTCTAGAAGCGATTGGTGGTAATCTATGGTTGATATGTCTTATACAACCAATCTTGGAGCAGCGCATGAATATTTTTTAAAAGGGGATACTAATCCTTGAACATTATCTATCTCTAATAATATTGGTAGAACATAGTCATGCTAGACAATATTCCTATTGACACCGTTTGGTGTCAATTTCATGTAACGGGCTACCCCGTCACATCACCCCCTCCTTAGCTATCAATCACCCATTGATTGAATTAGAATTGATCGGGACCGGGTGACCACCGTTGGATCACTCTGGGAAAGGGAGCACTTGTTGGTCAAATCCTATTCATTTGCCAATCCAACGCATGATTTCAAAAACCACGCGAGCTGCTACTGCAGCAGCAATAAGGGCGGCTGCACACATGCGTGCGGCCGCGGAAAGTGCCTTTCACACCTCAGCATCAAGCGATTCGTCGCCTGTTCTTGTGAATCGTCCACGTGGTGAGTCACCACGTGCGACGGGTACATCCGCTGCATCTGCAGCGGGTACCTCAGGTCGTTATCACGATGAGTCTGAGGTAGAGCTCATCCATTCTGGCGAGTCAAGTGATGCTTCTGACTCGAAGGCGACACCTCACGCCTCCGGATCACCCGGGGCGGACACTGCAAGAGCCAGGTTGACTGGCTCTGGTCAACGTGGCAGTATCATGTCCGAGATCTTCGGATCGAGCGATTGTATGACGTTGTGATGGGGTTATGGGATTTATTTGTTCCGACAAATCTCCACCTCACGCAAGTCCTACCAATTATAGGTAGCGTGGTGATGGTGGTGATGCTTCGGAGCATCACCACGAGAGAAGTAATTTTAGGGATCGGGGTGTCACTGGTGTCAGCGCTCACGCTGGCACCAATCGAGATGCCAGGGACCGAATGTCCTGCGCCACGCTCCTCAAGTGGAGTCTCCATGGATGCCTTCATCCAAAGAGTTGGACCAGTTGGCCGGCATGACTCCCGAACGGGATCGAATCCCGTCGTTCGACTGTAGGAGTGCACTCCTAACTCTAGCACGGACATTATCCGTGCTGAGAAAGAGTTCTTCACCGATGTGTTCTTCAAATATCGGTGGCACAACGGCAACCGTGGTCGTGACGGCAAATGCTTGGTGCAAGGATGAAATGCCCTCATCCACAACATCAAGTGTATTGGCCGTGAGGCCTGGCTCACCAAATTGATGCAGCTCGCATCAGGTTCGAGAAACGCAAATCAGTCGGTGTACGATACAAGTTGCACCGGCTTTCAAGAGAGACAGGAACACTTTGTCTCTCGTGGGGTGATTCGTGGATAAGTTCCCTGGACAACTCGAAACGTGCCCCTAGGGAGGCCTTCCTCCCTAATGATCCATACTGGAGGGCGCGCATCTCTTCCGAGGTGGCTGAAGGGATTGACACCTTGCAATCCCTGTACTCGCGTTTGGAAAGGTCGTTTTCCGACGGCCCTTCTTCGAACGCAGCGTGTGGGTCTCGTCGTACTGCTCGACGAGACCAAGGACATCAACAATCAGCTGGGCACGAGGCTCCTGGCTGTCCCACGCCGGTTGATATCTACGTCAGCGGACGAGGTAACTCGTCCGGACGCCATTCACATCGCGCTGGTTCAAAATACGCTCCACTAGGACGCGTTGAACACCGCTTGAGTCCACCAAAGGATGTGGTGGCGGTGGGAACACCTGATCCGGCTCGAGGGTCGGATCAACTTGACGTTCAAGAGCTGAACCGTCTTACGGACTAGTTGCAAGATGACCTGGATCATGAACGGACTCGGCGCAATGGGCTTGAGGATCTTGCAAAATATAATTACAATTCCCTAACGCACGATCGTTCGAACGATCGTGACTCTTTTTCACTCGCGCGAATTGAGAACGAACGTTCGACTCGTTCTCTTCGTGAAGAGCTGGCTGTAGCTCGTCGAGACATCGCTGAACTACGTGAACATGTCGCTTCGCTAGTCAACCAGACTGGCTCGTTGAAACAGGACCACTCGAAGGTGGTTTCGGCTCTCGACCGCGGAGGTGTTCTTCGCATCTCGAAACGGGCTCGTACTGATAGTACGGGCGGAGACGACCGACATAAAACGTAGGATGCGTACGCATCTTACAAGGCAGTTCAATCGTGTATGCGTTGCCCATTCGGCGCAACACACGAAATGGATCGATGTACCTGGGCAAGAATTTACTGCTGCCCACGTTTGTCACTGCGTGTTTCGGTAAGTTTACTGTAGACAGTAAAACTAGGTCTCCTTCATCAAATGAAAAAAACATTTGCTCTTCCGTGTTTGTCTGCATTTATTTTCTGTATGTCTAGTGCATCTGCAGTAAAGTATTGAACGAAGCGGACAACCGCTTCGCGAGTCAGCAGAAATTCCTCTGCTGTTTCATCCTTGTCAACAGCAGTACGCTTCGTGTGCACTGCTGAAAGAACGTTGCCTTCACCAAAGAGGGTATCATCGTCCTCATTTTGGCGGTCATTGGCGATGCTGAATATGCCAGCATCGTCGTCATCGTCATCATCGATATCGATCCCAGCGACATCGGCATCCATCACGTCGACACCATTGTCGACGGGTGATGAGCAAGAACCAGATCGGTTATAGTTCGAGCGAGTCCACCCCCCCCCTTAAACTAGAGTCACACTCCAAGAAGGCGGGTAAACGTGGATGTCGTAGGGCCATTCACGAAGAACGGTGTATGAGCTGCAGACGCATGCACCAAATTGTTGATGGCGAATACCGCCATCGGCAAGAACTCACTCCGAATCGTGAACGAGTGGACATACCCTCGAAGTATCTCTTCGAGAGCGCGGTTGACGCGTTCCGTCTGACCATCTGTTTCGAAATGGTCAGAAGTTGACATCGTCAAACGTGTTCCAAGTAAACGGAACACAGATTGCCAGAACTCCGATGTGAAGCGGGGGTCTCGATGTGACACGAGTTCACGGGGCAACCCATGAAGTCGGAAGATAGTATCGATGAAGACACGCGCACAGCCCTGGGCTGTGATTGACTCCGGTACATCAACAAGATGTACCATCTTGCTTAACCGAACAACAAACACAAGAATACCAGTATTCTTGTGAGCGTCTTTGGGAAACCCGAAAACGAAGTCTATCGATACGGACTGCCAACACTCTGCCGGAATCGTAAGAGGCTGCAAGGGTGCGCGGGATAAAGGACTAGGCTTCACTCGTTGGTAAACTTCGCAAGCGCGAATGTATTTCCGCACAAACTCATACTGGCGGGGCCAGTAGAAGTCACGACTTACCATGAGGTAATTATTTTATCTACCGCGATGCCCACTTGTTGGGGCATCGTGGCAATCATACCTGATGCGCAATCGCATATGATTATGAGCCAGAAAGAGGACACGAGATTTGTCGACGTTGACTGCTGTTTAGTACGGCAGTCCATCACGGATTGAATACCGTTCGGTTGAAAGGCGGTTGTGAGACGACAAGCTTTTAAAAGCTTGACTGCATGGATTGGATACATAATCTATCAACCGCAGACTGGAATCATCTTCTGCGTATGCTTTTCGCACATCGTCGAGTAGATTCGATGACGGAACACTCACTGTTAGTGTCGCTACAGTAGGAAAACCCCTACTTTTGTGTTGAACAGTCGGCTCGAAATCGAGCCGACGCGAAAGAGCATCAGCGACGACATTAAGTCGTCATGGTTAATGATCGACGGAAAGGTTGTACTCCGCGAATAAAGACAGCCACCTCGCCATTCGTTGCGAGAGGTGTGGATTGTTTACGGCCGTGCGTAACGACGCATGGTCGGTACAATCGATGAAGGGCCTATCTCCTAAGAGATATACCCGAAACTTGGTCAGTGCATATTTCATGACAATGAGTTCCTTGTCATGCATTGGGTAATTACGCTCAGCTGCTTGTAGCTGACGCGATTGGTACCAGACGACGCGCTCAACGCCGTCTGAGTCGTACTGCATTAACGCGCAGCCGATTGCAAAATCGCTGGCGTCACAGACCACATGAAATAGCCTATCCTGATCTGCGATCGCCAACACAGGCGATTGCACCAAGCATTTCTTGATGCCTTCAAAAGAGTGCTGACACTCAGCGCTCCAGGAACACCTCTCGCTTTTCTTTAGTAGACGAGAGAGGTGTACAGTCATCTCGGCATAGTTGCGCGAGTATTTGTGCAAATACGCTGCCAAGCCAAGGAACTTTCGAAGTACCTTGACGTCGACTGGCACAGGCCAGTCGCTAATCGCCTTGATCTCTTCCGGATCAGGGCGTACGCCGTTATTACCCACGATGCAGCCAAGAAGTGGTATCTTGTTCGCTGCGAAGATACACTTCCAGATGCTCGCAAACAAATTATGCTACCGAATAAGTATAAGAACCTTCCGGACGTGGATTGTATGAACCTACAAGTCCGTATTTCCATCCATAGCCCGGCTATGGACGAAGACATCGTCGAAGTAACTCGGTGCAAAATCACGCACCGATCGCAACATATTTGTAACACATCTGTCGAACGTTGCGGGGGCGTTACTTAGCCCCTGTGGCATCACTAGCCACTCCCAGAGCATACCTATGGGGGTGCTCACTGCTGTGTAAGGGATATCCCGTTCACGCATGAGAATCTGATAAAATCCATCCATCATATTTATGGACAAAAAGATGGTACTTTTTGCCATACCATCTATGATGACGTCCTTCCTCGGTATCGGCGTCTGAGCCGGTACCGTTGCAGCATTTAACTTGTTAAATGCATGCACAATCCGCCACCCTCCTGTTGCTTTTCCGCACACAGAAGGTCGGAGAGCTCGAGGACCCCTC